TTTATTTATTTATTATTTTTTTCAATTGATCTTTTCGCTCTTTCAGCTAACGCCAATACTTGTAAAAAATCCGTGGCTTTCAAAGTAAACTTCAAAAACAAAGCTCTGATCAATCGCACAATCAGCACTCTGCAATCAAACAGTGATGAGTTTTGTCAGTCTCTTTGCTTCAGAGAAAATCGCTGCATCTCTTGTACTTTTGACACCAAAAACCAACTGTGCAATCTCAGTGACACGGACCACATTATGCATCCTAAACTCTTGGTGAACACAGCCAACACGATTTATTGGAGAATGGAGGTATGTAATGACTATGATATTTCGAAAACAATAGCATTGCTTAATATGGTAATGCGTATAAGAAGTCCCATATCAAACAATAGTCTCCCTCACTGATCGCTAGTTAGACGTATAGAGCGTGCAATACTGAATATAAACATTCTTTAGCACCTACAGACAATACTCCAGTTTCGAATTCTCTTTTGTGCAGCTCTAGCTTCAATCAAGCATAGTCTTTAGCTTTCCATAGTCTTTTTTTGTACACAGAATGTTTGCACAACAATAATGAATAAAAGAATTTATCATATAATTATCTTTGAAATACCTATATTTCTCYATTTCATAAAATTGATATTTTCACTAGTTATTTTCACATTCGAGGTTTCTCTATACAGTGGAAGTAAGAAAAAAGGTATTTTACGGCATAATTTGCTTTCATATATAATTACATTTTCAACACTCGATAAAATCCGTATCTCCGCGCGCCCATGTAATATCCTCTATATATTACATGCTTTCGAGGTTAAGGCTGCACAAATAAGATCTCGAAAATGGAGCATTAATCACATGTATCTATCATCGCACGCTCAACGGTCATCTCGATTCGATGCAAAGGCACGGCTATCTTTCAAGAGCAACTGAAACCGTGAAGGCTTTCTTCTATTTAATGTCATCAGCGCAAAATCTTCCRTATCAGGTTTTGCTCCAGTTTAATTTTTATTTTATTTGTTACTTCCAGAACTCTTGTAATTGTGACTCAAGGAGAATGACATGCAGATACAATCCCGCTGTTCAGGATTTCCGCTGCTACTGTAATCTTGGATTTACAGGGACAAATTGCACAAACGGTAAGCTTTAAAGATATTCTAAATTATACGAAATTTGGCTGTTCCTGGTTTCCGGAATCCATGCTGCTGGAATCCGTATTCAAAGCTTCGGGATTCCGGATTTCAAGAAAAGTTCTATATTCCACCGTTTTGGAATCAGAGTGCCGCAAAGCTCTTCTTATTAGAGTTCCAGATATATATGATAAACGTCCTCTGTTTGAAGTTTTTTATTGAGAGCTTTCATCGTCTTTAAATAACTAATTTTGATGGTCATTCAAGAGAATCCGGTATTGTTTAGGGAGCTGTTTTGAATTATTTCAAGCACCAGTGGTCAGTGCAGTATGCCAGGATTCAGGTGTCTTTAATGTCCTCCAATTTCCTTTGTCAGTGACAATGTTGAAACCTTTCGTTACTAAACGGAACGTTCTCATATGTTCTTTTTGCCAGAGTTCCAATTATGATAGATGTCGGACGTAACTGACTTTACTAATCTAGCTATAAGGAAACTTTTTTTGTTTGAATAAATCATCGTTTTTCATGCATGTCTACATTGCAGATTTAAAACTGGTCGCTCTTTTCCCTTTAAACGCTCGATACCAAGCAAGATCTGTCCAGAGCGAGGCTCCAAATGGTGTCATTAGTAACGTCCAGTGCAACAAGGATTCAAGCTCACCAACAGGAGGATCATGTTTATTCAATGGCAATAAAAACAGCTTCATTGAAATTCCAAATGCGCAAGATGGAAAGCTAGATCTAAAGGGTTCAATGACATTGCTTGCGTTTGTATACGCTGAAAATGATGGCGGTCCCCTCTTTCATTACAACATTAATAATAATAACAATAATAATTATAATTATAATTATAACAATAATTATAATAATAATTATAATTATAATAATAATTATAATAATAATAATAATAATCGTCGTAGTTTCGGCTGGTGGATTATCCTTCAAACCCTGGCACTGGCAAAGATTAAACCAAATGGAGAATTTTCCGAGAAATTTTCAGGTCAGTCAATCATCCCTCGAGGGTGGAAGTATGTTGGAATGACGTATGACAAGTCCAAGATCACGTTGTGGGAAGGACAGCAACTCATGGAAGCGTCCATGAAAAATATAGATAATTTTTTGAAGTTCCCAGTACGCATTGGAGCTTCATATATCCCAAACCATTACTTCAAGGGAAAGATTGCTTGCCTACAAGTCTACAATGAAGCTTTAGATAAACAACAGATCAAAAAGGCAATGCATAATTGTAACAATTACATGTAATATGCTATAGCCGACTTGCGAAKTTTGCCTCAGTAGTCACACACAAAGAAAAGACGAAGCGCCGTGCATGAAAATCAGGCAGTCGTGAAAAGACACGATTGACAGAACTTTATTTAGGGCGCCTTGTCTTTTAAGACAAGAATTAAAATTACCTTAGCATTAGGGCGCTCTTCTGTAGAACGTTCTTCAAGGAATTGACCTATTTCATTATGACGTCACAGTATGTTTACATCGAAAAGCGATGCTCAAAAACAGTGGAAATTTGGACTCGTTTATATCGTCTACTAAAGTAGAACTTCAATGAATCGTGTTTTKATATATATMATGTATAAATGATTGTTCATGTTTATTTTATTTGATATGCAGTCACTCTGATCCCCTCTGGTGACCATAATCCTTAGCGTTAAAACAATAGAATGTTTTGATSTGACGTAATAATGAACTAGGGCAATTGCAAGAAATCGTTCTTCTTTATCATCATTCTTCTTGCCTGCCGTTTATCGATGTCAAGAGCACGCTCGACCTTATTCCACAGTCTAACCTGTGTGTTTCCAAACAGCACTATTGAGACAAAATTTGCAAATGGGAAACTTGGGAAATGAAAATATGGAAACCCGATGTSATTTCACGCTACGATTCTATWCCATATATGCCTTTTTCATGAAACGGTCACATGGTMCGTACTAAATCCAATATACTGGATGGCAAAATCTCCATGCTAGGATGTTCAAGACAAAGAAAAGTCAATCTTTACGGACTGCATTCCTTTTGTTTTTTGAGATGTTTACATTCGTTTGCCATCCAGTATGGCGGATTTAGTACCATGTGACCCTTTCATGCAGAACGCCTATGCACAATAAAAAATATTGTTTTTCCAACTTTGCAGCACTCTCTAAAAAAACATTCTTCGTTGTTCAATAGAGTAATTTGTGGATTTTTCTAGAGGATTTTAATTGCGAAATTCAGCAAATGGAACGTATTAGAACACATTAYGTAGTTTGAATTTAATATAACAAAGGGTATCTTAGCTGAGCAACTATTGAAMGTAGAGTTTCAGAGAGTTTCGCCATTAGTTACAGAATATATAGTTCAGAAAACACAGATAACAATAACAGGCTAACTGAGTCCGCCATGCTGGATGGCAAAATACCCACACAGGGATGTTCAAAACAAAAAAAAATCAAGCTTGACTTGCTACGTTTCTTTTGTTTTTGAGTTTGTTTACATTCTTTTGCCATCCAAAGGATGGCGGATTTAGCACCATGTAACCGCTTCAAAGCCTACTGTACTAGAACATTGTTACAAACCTGGCACTCGCTGGAACATTTTGAGAGAACATTTCTAGTAATTAGTRGATTATTCTAGAGGATTTTAAGTTAATTATCATATCAAACAATTGTCTGACATTCGCCCGGGCTACCTGTGACTGATTTCTGTTGGATTCCTTATTTTACAAGGATGGGAGGGGACTAGGACAAAATTATAATGGCCGACATATTGAAAAGCAATTTCTCTGCGAAATATGTAATTTTTAGCCATTTTAAAGCACTAAAACTTGGAACTTGAAAAAAAAAAAGACTTTCTAACATACTTCATTATAAGGTAAGACTACCATATATGGTCAACAAAAGATTTGCAAACGAATGAATTTTTCACCGAGCCAATTGTTTGATATGTGTAAGGTTTTTTGTTTTGGTTCAGAGGAATATCATTGTTAGTATGTATTACTTTGTAAATAAAGTCGTTTTGTCTAGTAACGGACCAAAGTTTGGTACCATAATCTGAATAAAGTGTTACTTTTCTTCATTCGAGTTTTTTGAAYTCATTGAAAATAACATTATATAACGATATAACTAATTGAAAACAGCAACCATTGAGAACTCGCACAGCGTGCACACAAAAAGAAATTTTCTATCGATATAATGAAACAATAGCTAAATTAACTTCTTCAATCTCCTCGATTATTTWGTGCAAACTCAGAAACGTCAACACTTGCCAGACGAACAGGTTTAAAAAGAGGATCTCAGATGAAACTATGGATTATATTATAAAAACTATTCTAATTGTGATAATTTCCGAATATAACACCGTCTGCGGTAAGTAGCTGTAACACATTATTATGATACTGTGACTTTTTTTAATATAATGACAATCCAACTTCGTGAACAATATCATACCTATCAATAAACTCGCGAAAAAAAACATTTTGCCATTAAACCGATGTTTCATATTTCTAAATAAATGTTTCTAMTTTATTTATTTCTTTCGACGATTCATTTTGAGTAATTCCACAAATATGCATTGTCTCTTGTTCCTATCTTTGGAAATGCAAACTTTGGAAGAATCTCAGGTGAGGGTGGTTGTCGAAGAAAGATTCAATCATTAAAGAAGATTTACGAGAAATCTCCATGACTAGGACTGTCTTTGCCGCTTACCAATGGTTCGACAATAGAAGATTCGACATTATTCGATAATCAATATATTTTCGGTTCCTGTGTTTGAAGAAAACAGTCAATTTTAGTATTAGAGTGCTGACCCTAATTTATGGCGGAAAAACGTTTGTAATTGAAATTGGTAAATTATACAGAACTATTGGAATTCCTTTGTTTCTCATTGTTAATCTATACTATATTGCGCTAAATACTATTTGTTTAATACTTTTTAACGTTTCTAATGTTACAATCTTATGGAATTAGTAGCCTAGTTCTTTAATAAGGTAACTTACATAGCAAATAATCTACACCTGTGAATTCTCCTAATCAATTTTAACATCTTTTGACAATCAAACTTATTGTAGCTAATGCAGCGGGGTGCGACAAAAACGTTTTCTTCAAAGAGTCCGTTCAAAACAAGGCATTCGTCAACCATACCTATAAAACCCACAAAAYCATKGATGYTGCTTTCTGCCAAGCSCTCTGCTTYATGGAYGCCGATMAGTGCTACTCCTGCACCTATGACAGCAAGAATTTTTTGTGCAATCTCAGTAGCTCAAACCACGTCCTGAAACCAGAGCACCTGGTGGACTCACCAAATGCAGTCTATTCAAGTGTAGAGGTTTGAAGTTATTGATAACTGTGTATAGGCCTTGAAAGAGGATTGTTTTTCTGAGGGTGGGGATCGGAGGGTCAGTTGATGTTTCGATAACAGGATTTAATTTAGTTGGTTTCGATTTTTTACTGTTAAATACATATTAGCGCACTACATATTATTACACTTCAGCCATTACACTTTGTTTCGCGTGTTAATGAAAAAACAATCAACTCTTCGTTTCGTTTCTTTCCTGTTTTCTTCTTTTCTTCTCTTTTCTTCTCTTTTCTTTTCTTTTTTTTTTTTTCTTTTCTTTTTCATTTCTTTCTTTTGCGTTTCCTCTTTTTGCGTTCTACACAGTATCTGTTTTGGGAATTTGAAAATCTCTTTGTCATCTAGATTCCTTGTAAATGTACTGCCAAGAATAGCATTTGTAAATACATCCCATCCGTAAAACAATATCGTTGTTTYTGCCCACTTGGATTTGGTGGCACCGACTGCGCAAAAGGTAACAGAGTTTTAGCTTTTCTATTGGCTGCTTTTATTTAATTATCTGCTTGGGATGTGAGCGCCTATCAATGAATGACCAATAGTCTCCTTCACGGTTCCCTGCGCCATCTTGAAATGTATCCGTGACTTTGCAGTGAAGAGAATTGTCGTATGTGTGAGCTTTAAGGGCCGAGTTTGTACAAAACATCTTATTTCCATTTTATTTCAAGATTTGCAGCTTGTAGCTGTTTATCCAATGAACACACAATACMAAGCAAGACCTGTACAGACGAACATGCCCGAAGGAGTACTTTCGAACGTCGTCTGCTCTGAACCCGCTGACTCCCGACCTGGAGGCTCCTGTACTTTCAAAGGTCGAAAAGATAGCTACATTGAGATCCCAAACAAAAAATCTGGAAAATTGGACCTCAAACGGAGCATGACCATCGCCGCTTATGTRTACCCCTTCCAAAGAGGTCCCATTTTCCAATACAATTCCGAGAGATATGGCGCCCATTTATGGATAACTGGAGGTCTCAAMCTAGCGGTACGTCTTGTTACACGAGAAATGAAAGAAAAAAGTCTTTATCAGACAGCTATTCCTCGAGCAAAATGGTCATTCGTTGGCRTAACCTATGCACATTCTAAGGGGATTAACAGCTTGTGGATTGATGGAGTCCAAAGAACGACAAATGACGTGGGAAAATTTGATCTTGCTACACAATTTAATGTAAGGATGGGAGCCGTTGAAATCGATAACAGTTTTTTTAAAGGTCAAATTGCTTGTGTACAAATCTACAAGAAGGCTTTAGACAAGGAGGAATTTGAAGAAGCTAAGCATCTTTGTGACCAATATCAGTAATTGAAATACTGATGGCAATGTGAACTGTTGGATCCATCTAAGGAAGGTCGTGGACACACGCTGTAGTAGTTGATATTATCTTCATACATCTGAGAACCTATAAGGAAACACAATATACTTTTCTAGAATTTATGTATTTTTGCGTGCTTGCGGGATTTTTTTTCTCAGATGCAATTGCCCTATTTCATTATGACGTCACAGTATGTTTACATCGGAAAACGATGCTCAAAAACAGTGGAAATTTGGACCCATTTATATTGTGTCCTAAAGTAGAACTTAAATGAATCGTGCTTTGATATATATCATGTATAAATAATTTTTAATGTACATTTTATTTGATATGCAATCACTCTGATTCCTTCTGGCGACCATAATCCTTAGCGTTAAAACAATAGAATGTTTTGATGTGACGTCATAATGAACTAGGGTAGCCATTACCAGGGTATATTTGTAAGCGAAAAGATCACTCGAATTCAGCATCTCAAGCGTGTGACTATGAAGATACTGCAGAAACTTCGCAAACAAGAGCACGCATAGTCTCTTTTACAARTCGCAACTTTTGGTCTCGTCAAATTTCCTCCCCGAAAGTAACGGCTGTTTACCTAGACGCAACATTCCTTTCCCTTTGGTTGACGAGACCGGAAGTCGCGGCTGTTAAAAGAGATTAGAGCACACATTAAGCACTTAAATCACTAATTAATTTTAAGGACACTTATATGTCTTTTATCTACAAAAACCTTTAAGGGAGAAAAAAGGCCTGCATGTAGTATGGTAATTATCCATCACCGCAGACGATTCATGTTAGTGACGCACTTTTATTGACAAAAAAAATCACGTGATCACTGTTTTTCTATTATAAAACTCCGTTCATTTGCGTTTATATATAAATTTGATCGTTTTCTCTTGCATAAGCGCATCGGCTTTTCCTATCGAAGTGCTTCCACGTTTGTCTGAAATTTATGAAACAAACAGTTTCAAAAGCAATATGACTTTGGTGAATCTAAATATCGCAACCCTTCTTTTTCGCTTCTCTGCCAAGGTGTCATATAGCATTTTCATCAAAAAATGATCTAGTTTCCAAGCTTTTTGGCAATCTGTTCAATTTCTGGTAACGTCTTTCCTTTCGTCGTTTCCTTTTCTTTCGCCCACCTGCACATGAATGGCAATCACTATCACCAACACACCAAACCATCGCGCGACGACACTAGCGAAAAACGCATTGCGCATGTCCACAGCTTTTCCGCCAGTGAGCGCACGCGTCTTGAATTCTGCCAAATTTTCTTTGTAAACAGAGCAACTGGTGATTTTTGTGGAAGTTTTTTACTATTTATAAGCTCGTTAACCGATATATAAGATTCATATTTCCGTCAATCTTTGTTCATGATAGGTTCTTTTAGTATGTAGTTTCTATTTTTATCTTGTCAATTCTATTTTGAGAAAATGAGGTTTTTCGTAGTGTTTTCTGTGTTGTCTCTGTAAATCGCCAGGCGCTCTGTTTACTCTGGCGGGAAAGCTGTGGGCATGCGCAGTGCGTTTTTCACTAGTGTCTCGCGCGACAGCAATAAAACCATTCAGTCTTTACACTTGAAAACTTGAACTGTTTTTAAATCAATAACACTGATACTGATGGCTGTGTTGGTATACATTTTTATTTGTGCAATTCAATCAACAAGTATTGTGACATTTATATTACAATCTTTACTCCGATGAAGGATTAGTAAATTATTTCACACACTTTTTTACGGTGTTAAATTTATCTTTTTACACAACTGTTTCTTTAGAAACAACGACGAGGCTCACACTAGTTTACCGCTAGTTACCACAATTGTAACATTTAAATGACTTTCAACGTTTACAAGTATCTATGCATTGGGTCTCTATCTTTGTGTGTTTTCAAAAAAAAAAGTTGGCAGAATACATTGGACAATAGAATGAATTGTCTTCGGGATATCATTTTTCTACTTTTGGATCTGGGGATCTAATGACCGCCAAAGATGGGAGTATAAAGGGAATCTGGACCTTCTTCAGGAAATTTTGAAATAATAGCTCTTGGAAATCCGATTTCCAGCGTTGTGAGAGACATCGAGGGSTTATAAAAGTGATCAATTTTATGTGAATTTTTCAATAATTTTTGTGAAAATCTTAATATTTCCTTGCCACTAGTACGCACGTGTGCGTATATGCGTAAAGGACGATACGCGTCTGATATGCTCAATGTCAACATTGCATCTATGGGAATAAGACAATGATATAACAATGAGGAAATTCAATTGAATGGTTCAATGATTTTGGCACAGAATTATATCTAGCCAAAGTTCTGTCTTTTACAAGTATACCAAGCCTGCTCTACGTCCTCCTTACTGAGCGCCATTGCATACATGTGTAAGCAGGCTATTTTACCCCTGAAGTACCTAGCATCACCAATACGAGCTCCAATGCGAATATTAAACTGAGTTGCTATGTCTGAAGGCGTTAAACTCACTTTTGCAAATTGATCCCCATCTTTCCACAGACTAGAATTGCCTGTCTTTCTATCGTAAGTAAAACCAGCAAATACCCACTGGCTACGAGGGATTTGGGTAAAACTAAAATCAAATAACTTCATAGTGTATCTATTGACAACACGACCAAAAAGACCGAGACTATCTGACCCAGTAACCCACCAATGTGTWCCCCAGGCTCTCTCATTGTAGTTCAAAAGAGGACCGTTTTGCTCAGCGTATATGTAAGCAAGCACTGTGAAAGATCCCTTGAAATCGAGCTTTCCGTTTTCTTTATTTGGTATTTGGATATAACTGCTTTGGTCACCTTTGAACMGGCAGGAMCCTCCAGATGGAGAACTGAAATCTTCTAAGCATTCAACGTTGTTGGCTGCACCAGGAGGAACATCATTTTGCACAGGTTTTGCTTTATACTTAGCGTTGAATGGGTATAGAGCTACAAGATTGAGATCTACAAGGAAAAATATCAATTAATCTCTAGATAGTCACAATAATGCATCAGTCAGTTGAGGCCTTCACTTCCCCCTCCCCCTCCCCCCAAAAAAAGCAAAAACTTCCGAGAAATTAACTCATTATTGCGCGCACTCGGGTACTACGAGTTGATAGTCAATACGACGTCGTAGCTCACTCGAACTCTGGTCTGATTTTTAAATATACCAGGAGATGAATACCTTTTTCACATCTTGAACCTCCAAATCCAACCTTGCAATAGCAGCGATGCGTATTGTCCTCAAAGTTGTACCGACAAGCTACCGTTGTTTTGGTGCTACAATTACACGTATTCTAAAAGGAGAATTATATATATACCTATTTCAAAAAAGGTTGTCGGATAAAATGGCAAATGTCAATTGTCGAACGGAGATAGCACGACGAAAAGGAGCCATGGATTTTGCTAATTTATTAGAAATAACAACTGGTGTATACTGTAAGATAAGTGTGTGGTGAACATTGGCTCCATTGTGTCACCATTTCTATGCGAAGTGAATCGCACAAGTAATGTTTTTATAATCAAACAGTGTARCCATAGTCCCTTTCGGTCGTGTAATCTCTCTTCGACGATGGCGTCGTTTGCCGTTTTCCCCGACAAGGTTTTTTTGAAATAGATGTATTAAATTTAGAACAATTTATGACAGATAAAAGTAATGAATGGTGCTTGGATGGCTTAGCATCGAAAACTGTTTTCTATGAACGCTGTACTTTTGGTAAGATTCTGTTATACTTGGGGACTTCCTGGGATTTGAGTTTGTGGGCATTTTCTCTTCCTTTCTCCGAGGTTCTCATAAAATATAGTGACACATTTATTGAGTAAGATTGACAAATCTCAGGGCAGCCTGAATAGATCATAAAAAAACAATGTACAGGCCTGAAGGCTGGGRGTTTCGGACGAGCCCTCCCACAAGCTTAAAAGGTCCGGTGTTTCTCTTTTTGCGATTTTTCTATATTAAAATTCTTTTGTTGTGAACTGTTTTTGGGATAGTATTTTGTTATGAACACACTTTACCTGTGCATTGAACTAATTTAGTCAAACATTTAATTTAGGTCCGTATTATGAAAAAACGCCAACCCACCCGACCCTATTGGTAAGTTAGCCAG